GGTGGAGCTTGTGACTCCAGGAGTCCCTCTTCCCGTCGTTACAGGTGGGGCCTGTAGCTCTGGTGGTTGCTGGTGCCATGCTGTATGAGATGGTTGGCAAGGGGTGGGGAGGATGCTGCTGCCAGTATCTAAGACTGGGATGTGTGAGGGTACTGTGCCTCTGGAGGCCTAGGGTCTAGATAGCTGGGCTGTCCAGGTGGGGCCTTGGGGACCCACCCCTTATTCCCAGTCAGTGGAAGTGGGGCCTGTGTAATAAAAGTAAATTTTTCCCAGCACTCGGGAGGCAGAGCCAGGCAGATCTCTGTGAGTTCGAGGCCAGCCTGGGCTACCAAGTGAGTTCCAGGAAAAGACGCAAAGCTACACAGAGAAACCCTGTCTCGAAAAACCAAAAAAAAAAAAGTAAATTTTTATATACTCAAATTTTAAATGTTAAATTGACTTTTAGGTGCTATTGATTAATAATAAGTTTGTTGATTAGTATTATTCTGAATTCTGCACTAAAGGATTTTAAGTATTTCAGTTTCAGATTTTTGAGTCTAAGTTTTCTTTTTTAATATAGTACTTTTTGTATTAAATAGCAGATTTAATGGTACAACAAATCAGGAATATCAAGAATAAAACACAGAAAAAAAAAGATTTCCCAATTCTAAAGTCTTTCACGAATCATATTTTAACTTACTGGTGGCAGGCCTCTAGGTTGAACGATTCACTTAGACTGCTATATGACCAGAGTCTAGGAGGATGAGTTTAATTTGTAGGGACCACAGTAACCTCTCACTTTTCTTCCACCATAGTTTATTTTCTGTACCATGTTTAGGGAAGTTCCTACTTTTGAAATATGTGGCTGTTACGTTAATCTAGTTATCAGCAAATCAGATTTAAAGAGCATAACCAGTGGGCTGGGAAGATGCCTCAGTTGGTAAAGTACTTGCTATGCAGGCGTTGTGGATCTGAGTTCACATAGAAGTACAAATATGTAACCCCAGGACTAGCGGTGTGGAGTTCACTGGCCAGGCTGTCTAGCCAAATGAGTGAGCTCCAGGCCCAATGAAAAACCCTGTCTCAGAAAATAGAGAATAGCTGTGGAATACACCTGACACTCAGTTCTGGCCTCCACACACGTTACACACAGCATTTATATACACATACACAAAATTAAGCAAGACCAGAAGAAAAACTGATGTTTTAGCCAAGAATTCAAAAGGAAGAAAATAACTGAAAATTAAGATATTTGACATATTTTGGTCAAAGCTCTAACTTTAACCTTGAGGGAATTTTTTAGTGGCATTTTATCAGGTTTCTGAAGACAAGAAGTTTTTAGGAAATGTCTGTTTGCAGCAAAAGTAGAGCAGAGGAGAGGAGTAAAGAGGGGAGTGTTCCCCAGTGCAGAGTGTCAGCTACAGTGTTTCTTTTCTCTGATGAACACGGTTTAGTTTCAGTGGACAAGAGGAAGTAGAGAGCTCAAATGCAAATACCATGCTTGTGTAATTAACCCTTGGTTTTGTCCTCTAAGCACAAATATTTATTCACTGTATGACTAAAAGGTGGCTGGTAAGATAATTAAAATCTTTTAAAAATTTTAACATTTTTTTTTTGTGGGTGTATGTGTGAGTATACGTGTGTGCACATGCAGTGGTGCCCATGTGGAGGTCAGAGGACAGCTTGTGTGAGTGTTCTCCTTCCACTTGGTGGGTCCCTGCATCTAACTCAGGTTGTCAGCCTTGCTGACAAGCACCTTTATCTGTTAAGCCATCTCTCTGGTCCAAGATAATTAAAATGTAATTTCATTATTTTTTTTTTTTTTTTTTTTTTAAGAATTCTTCCATGATAAGCCTTAGAACTCAATTCTGAGTTTGGAGTAACTGGTTTTGGGTTAGCTTTGCTGTTAACATACACTAGCTGATGCCTTGTAGTGCTTAGAGTCACACCTAAGCTTAGTAGTGCTTAGAGGCACACCAAAGCCTTGTAGTGCTTAGAGGCACATGTAGTGCCATTCCCATTTAGTTCATGAATTCACAGGAAGACCAGATAAGGTGAGACTTAAAATAAACTTCACATTACACAGATTCATACTCACAGTGTCTTTGTAACCAGTCCAGTGGATACTTTTTAGTTCCCCAACAGGAAAGATTGGGTAAGGAGATTTTTCTTCTTTTTTTCTCTGTTACTTCTGTAAGAAAATATTCAGAACATTAAAACCTTCCTGTTTATTTTTTGGGAATGTAATAATTAACAGAATTTAATAGAAAACTACTCAAGTTCAAAAGATACTGTTTCTTTTTGTTAATAAAATGAACATTGTTTTTATAATTTTTGTAGTATTTTTTTATTTTTTGAAATTATAATTACATCATTTCCCCTCTTCCCTTTCCTACCTCCAACCCTTCCCATGTATCCCCCCTTACTCTCTCTCAAATTCATGGCTTCTTTTTCTTTGTTATTATATTTTTTTCCCTAAATATATGAATAGAACTTGCTCAGTTCATATGATGCTACTTGTATGTGGATGATTTCAGGACTGACCACTTGGTATTGGATAACCAATCAGGGGCCTCTTTATTGGAAAGACTATTTCTCCTACTCTGAGCATTCCTTCGTTGTCTGTAGTTCTCTGTCTAGGCTTGAGACCTCTTCAGCTCTCTTCCTTACATAATAGCATGTCTACTGGTGTTGTCCTTGTTCAAATCTTTAGGCAGCCATGTTGATGAGGTTTCATGGGCATAGTTTCTCTGACATTTATAGGAGGCATGATCTCACAGCAAATCTCCTGTCCTCTGGCTCTTAGATTCTTTCTGTCTCCTCTTCTGCAAGATCCCTGAGCCTTGGATGCAGGAGCTGTATTATAGACGTATTGGCTGTGGTTTTCTGTGATGGTCTCTGTGTGTTGTAAAGAAAAGTTTCTTTATCTGTGGATATAGAGGTAGATATTTAGAATGTAGTTAGGAATTATGCTGGTTTATTTAGCAAAGTGGCAGTTGTAGGTTTCCTTCAAGATCCATGATTTCTCTAGCTCTGGGTAGTTGGCTTGGCTTCCAGTACCAGGCATGATTTCCCTCTTGTTGAGGAGGCCTAACATCCAATTAAATAGCTGTTGGTTTCTGCCACAGTGCGCATGCCATGCTGGTCATTGTGATTCATAGGCATCATAGCTGAATAAGACCATTGGTTGTTTCCTCCCTTGGAAGTTCGCATGGTGCCTTCTGGTACCATGAAAGCTAGTCCTCAGGGAGGAAACTCTCGGTTCAGATCTAGCTCAGGTCCTCTGGGTTCTGTGTCAGAAATGCACAGTATCTTCAGCAATAGGAACTTACCTTGCATCTCTAGGGGGCAAGCAACAGCAACAGCAATAGCTTGTAATGTTGGGGGTCTCTTGGACAACTCTAGGCCTGGTGTTAGGGTTTCTGTTAGCAAGTCTATGTATGGCTTTTGGATCTTGAGGAGAACATTGTTGACCTAGATAGGAAATTTTCATTTAAACTGTATATATTATGTGTGTGTTTGTGTGTGTGTATACACACACACTTACGTATTATATATAATTATATGTATTATATGTAATTTTATATAGTTAGAGAATATGGTTTTTACATTTTTACATGTATAGGTATTTTGTCTGCATATATGTCTGTGCACCACATGCATGTAGGGCCCACAGAGACCTGAAGAGGGTGTCAGATCCTCAGAAACTGGAATTACAGGAAGTTATGAACCACCATATGGGTGCTGGGAATTGAACTTGGGTCCTCTGGAAGAACAGCCAGTGTTCTTAACCGTTGAGCCATTTCTCTAGCCCCTAATGAACATTCTTACAATTCAGTCATGAACCTTAAAAGACTTGGTTGTGTTGTCTTCTTTTTTCTTGTTTTTAACCACTTCATTAATCCATCTCTTGGACAATTATTTTTAACAAGACTGAGAATTTTATCTGAACATAGAAGCAAGTAAGAGGATAGGGAGTTTATATTGTATGTGCAAGGGATTATAACTTAGAATATAAGTGACTCGAGTGAAGTGAGGGGCAGTTAAAAAGAAAAAAATGGTAGGGTTGGTTTATAGGTCTAAGCTGGATCAAAGACTTTTGTAGTTGGGATGAAAAAACACCTGGTCTGGTGGTGTACACCTTTAATCCCAACACTTTAATTCTCAGGAAGCAGAGGCAGGTGGATCTCTGTGAGTTCAAGGCCAGCCTGGTCAATACATCCAGTTCCAGGCCAGCCAATGCTACATTGTAAGACTGTCTCAAAAAGAAAAACAGAACTAAAATTATGGAGAAATGCACTTGTTGTTGACAACAGGGTGAAGTATGAGTCTCAGAATACATGGCTAAGATTATGGTAACATCTTGGGAAGCTGCCTTTTTGTGTAATAAAAAGTGGACTTCAGAGCTAGAGAGACGGCTCAGGGGATGAAGCACTTAGGAAAGCCAGAGGATCCGAGTCACGTCTCCAGCGCATGTACAGTTTGGGCATGGGCATAAGTGTCTGCAGTTTCAGTGTTACATACAGAGATGATAGGTAGCTCTTGGCTTGCTGGCTGGACAGCCTGTCTGAAATTGTGAGCCTCAGCTTCGGTGAGGGACCCTGTCTCAAACAATAGAGAAGACACTTGACCTACTTCTTGTTCTCCATGTATACATGTAGGCATGCACACATATACCAAAGTTAAAACTTTTTTTTTTAAAGGAACACGCAGCCATTCTTGCAAGAAGACAAAAATATTGCTTTGAGTTCAAGACTAGCAAAACCCTGCCTCAAAAATAAATAAGATTTAAGTTGTAAACTTCTGAGGAGATGATTAAGTCTTACTGTGTCTCCGGCATGGTGTTAGAAACAGTAAACACTAATGGTGATTAGACTGAATGACCTTTTATATAAAGTACATTGTGAGGACCATTTCTTGATACCATGGGATTAAATGTAATCCTTATTTCTTTATTGCTTATAGGAAATGTGCCTCTTTTAAATTCATTGCTTACTAACTGGTGCTTGTTTTTGCTCTAGGACTTTATTGTTACTCTTGTGGCCACTTTTCTGTGGTTGGTGAGTTCCTCAGCCTGGGCTAAAGCTCTTACAGATATTAAAATAGCTACTGGACACAATATTATTAAGGAACTTGATCCTTGTCTGTCAAAAGTGTTGTGTCAATTTGTTTCCGTGACTAGTATGGGATCCCTAAATGTATCCGTGGTAAGTATCTGATGCTTGCACAGTTTCATTTACTAGAACAACATTTAAGAAAGTAACTTTCAATAATCTCTGTGTGAGTAAATTGATTCTTATTTTACTAAGCTACTTGGGTTCTAATTCGGATACACACACACACACACACACACACACACACACATTTATTTATTTATTTATTTATTTATTTATTTATTTATTTATTTATTTATTGATTGAAAGTATTACCTGTTGAAGACTAAAAGACACTAATAATGGTAACTTGTATTGAAAAGATGTGCTAACCATTGTGCTATAGTATCTGTGAAGTTACTCAGCCATTCTGAGAGGAATATGAGAAGCAGCGTTGTTAACTTTGTTGTACAGCTAAGAAACATATGTGTTACAGTCCTCTGGAGAGATACAACTTTTGAACCAGATCTGACTTTGTGCCTGTTCTCTTACATTTGCTTTACTTGGAGTATATAAAACGAACACTTTTTTTTTTTTTTTTTTTTTTTGGTTTTTCGAGACAGGGTTTCTCTGTGTAGCTTTGCGCCTTTCCTGGGACTCACTTGGTAGCCCAGGCTGGCCTCGAACTCACAGAGATCCGCCTGCCTCTGCCTCCCGAGTGCTGGGATTAAAGGCGTGCGCCACCACCGCCCGGCTAAACGAACACTTTTAAGAGTTTCTTAAATCTGTAAAATTTAACATAGGTGATTCATTATATTCATCAATTTCATCAAATTGAAGTTGATTGTCAGTAACATTGAATATATTCTATTTTGGAACACTTTTTCCAGAAAATGCTTTTCCATAAGAGGAAGTCAATATTGCTTCATAAAGCAGTTTGCCCACATTCTTGATAATAACTCTGTAACGTAAACGTCAATACTTACAGTTTGTATTGATAGGTAGTGCTGTGAGTGGGACAATTTCATAAAAATTTTGTGTGCACTTACACAAAACGGTAAAGCATTTGCTTTTTAGTTAGGTAGTTCCTCAGCTTCTTGCCCCACTCTTACTTCCTAAGTCACCCTCACTGATCACTGAAGGGCTTTGTTAAATAAGGTAGGGAGGCTCATCAGTCCTGTGTGTGTGCGGGAAGAAAACTCCTGTGTGTTGATGAGTGCAGGGTCGGAAGTAGAATTCTGGCTGCAGCTGTTGGAAGAGCAGAGGGCGGTCAGAAGAGAGAATGGAAGAAAAGTGAAAACCTTAAGAGACGCAGACTCGGCTTCCTGCTGAGCCTTGTCACCCTGGAATACCAAAGTCTAAATTCAGAGTAATAAAAGGGAGTTACTGCTTTTCTCAAATGTAATCCTATGTGCAGAAGTAAAAAGTTTTCATTTTTGTTGTTTTATGTTACAGATTTAGAGTATTAGCATGTTGAATATAGTAAGTTATTATACACCAGGCAGACCGGCACATGCCTTTAATCCTAGCACTTGGGAGTCAGAGGCAGGAGAATCTCTGTGAGCTCGAGGCCAGCCTGGGCTACAGATGAGTTCCAGGAAAGGTCCCAAAGCTACACAGAGAAACCCTGTCTTGAAAAACAAAAAAAAAAGTCATTATGCATCCAAAATTTGTACGATGGACTGTATGTATAGACTTAGTTTTTTATTCTGCTTTGTATGTATATTAAAACAAATATTAGATTTTTATATTTGTTTTCCTCTTTCATAGATCTTTGGCTTTCTGAATATGATACTTTGGGGAGGAAATGCTTGGTTTGTATACAAGGAGACCAGCTTACATAGTCCATCAAATACGTCAGCTTCCCACAGCCAAGGAGGCATCCCACCCCCTTCTGGAATATAATTAAATGGGGGAAATATACTGTATGAAATGTGTGCTATACTATGCCTTGTTGCCAACATCTTGAGAAGCATTATTGTTTCTAATAAAAAGTAATGGCTTTTTCAGTAAATTGGTGGGTTTAAAATTTTGCTGCTTTTCTATATAAAACGTGCCTTTTCTAGAAATGCAAGATGTAAATGCATTTTAAATGTAAGTTTGAACATTCAGGAGCCTGTTTATGAGATGATACTTATTTTTAAGTGAACAATAATTTCACTAAGTTACCTTCTAAAGTGTTTACACCTTAAGCCTTAACATAAACCTTCATTCAGAAAAGTTATGTCATATCATAATATAGGAAGAATGAGTTTGGAATATACACTACTGATAGTTTGTACACATCGTTCCCCTAAAGCTTGGCTTGTTTAAGAAAACCTTGATTGCATAAATTGTATTTAGGAAAAAAGATTAGTATAAATTTTATATCTGAATATTGTTCATGTTAAAAATTTTTGAATTGCAAAGAATGGGTATATATTTTGTTTCTGTTTTTCTAAATGACCTGCTGTACTTATTAGGTGTACTGAAATTGTCTTACGAGCAAGGACTTGAAAATTCTAACAAATATGTAGAGTTAACTTTGTGCTTCTGTTGCTTGAGGTATATTCATTATTTCTGGTGGTTTCTTAGGCTTGCTATGTTAGAAAGAGCATGGTTCCCACAATAGCTATATATATATGTGGACATTCTTTATGATAATGGTTTGCTATCCTTGTTCACAAGAGAGAAAAATCTACCTGTTTTCTTCAAGACCCTGTTAGAGGGTTAGAAAAAATTAAGGTTGCTTTTCACTTTAGAAACATTAAAATTTAGTCAATGAAGTTGTTTCTCCTGAGTTTAACATTGATATTGTGAAAATAAGTGCAGTTCAGATTTCATATTTCTTAATATTCATTCTTACTTCACAAAAGGATGATTAAGGAATTATGCTATAAAGGAACCTCAGTAAACTGTATTGTGTATGTGCTGTCTTTACACACACATTTGGGTATGTTGAGAATACAATGCTTTTTGTTGTACAGGGATCCAGACTTCCTGTCCTTACAAGATGATGTTTGTATTGCGAAGCACATCTTGAGATATTGCCTTATTTTTATTGCTTTATTCGTGGCAAAGTGTCTATGTAAGAATGTATGTTTAATACAGCAAACAATAAAGAAGTTACAATAAAGATGCCCCAGTGTGACAGTAACTCCCCATCCTCAGGTATGCGCAGCACAGAATGGAACTGGTTTTCAAAGCAGGAGGTAGAATTACAATAGTGTTTTTAAGTTTAGAACAGAATGAAATGCCCAGCATTTCATTCTCATTTGAAAGCATAACTCTTACATTGTTTTCCTGGTAAACATTTTCTAATTGGTCAGTCAAATAGCAAACATTACTGATTGAGAAGATACAGCTTCTGCAACATAACACACTGGGTAGACTGCTTGTCTTGCATACATGAGGCCCTGGTTTTAATCCCTGCACTACATAACCCAGCTGTGGCAGCCCAAGTCTCTAATCTCAGCACTGCAGTTTAAGGTCATCCTTGGCTACCTGGGGAATCCAAGGCCAATCTGGGATGTGTGAGTCAGGCACACTCATTTCCTGCTCGCCAGGTGCACTCTGTGTGTGTGTGTCTGTCTGTCTGTCTGTCTGTCTGTCTCTCCCTTCTCTGTTTCTCTGTGTGTGTATGTCTCATCTCTGTCTCTCCCTCTGTGTGTGTGTGTGTGTGTATGTGTGTGTGTGTGTATGTATCTCTCATCTCTGTCTCTTCACACCCTCTTTCCATTCCTCCCTCCTCTTCTTTCTCCCCCACCCTGGAGCTAAACTCCATGGTTTTGAACCTAGCCTTGACTATTCACTAGCTGGCTAACAAGATGAAATACCCTCTCTACCACCATTTGTATCTGAAAACATGGAAATAAAAGTACTGACCTTGGCCTGGAGAGATGGCTCAGGGCTTAGGAGCACTGACTTCTCTTCCAGAGGACCAGTTTCAATTCTCAGCACCTACATGACAGCTAATAACCAACTATAACTCCAAAGGCATCCAGTGTCCTCTTCTGGCTTCCACTGGTACTACATTTATACATAGACACACACATGCAGGCAAAACGCTCATATGTAGCTGAAGTTTTCCTGTGTCCCGCCCAGTCCACAGCCACTCAGACCCAAGTAAACACACAGAGATTTATATTAATTAAAACTGATGGCCATTAGATCAGGCTTACTACTAACTAGCTATTAAACTTAGCCCATTTTTGTTAATCTATATGTCACCACATTTTCTGTGGCTTTACCTGTATGCCATTACATGCTGCTCCCTGGATGGTGGGCTGGCGTCTTTTGCCTCAGCCTTCCTCTTTCCAGAATTTTTCTTGTCTGTTTATCCCACCTATACTTCCTGCCTGGCTACTGGCCAATCCTGCTTCGAAGAAGAAACTGCCAGACAAAGTTTTATTTATCAACCAATCAGAGCAACACATTCACAGCATACAGAACATCCCATGGCATCTCCCCTTTTTGTCTAATCAAAAAAGAAGGGTTTAACTTTAACATAGTAAAATTACATATTATGTAACAGTTATCAAGCAAGAATTAACAGTTACAATATCTAGTCTATATTTGGCAAAAATTAAAATATTTTATCCTCTATTTGTGAGTCTAAAGTTTTATATCTAATTTATCTTTTATCATAACCAAGGAAAATTATAACTAATTTTCAACTACATTGAAGACCCTAGAAGGATATAAACTACCTAAGTAAACAGGAAGAACATGGTAAGCAACTTACAAAAATCTAGAATGACAGAGACAGCTGTCTGCCTGGATAGTCATCAAAAGTTCCTCTGTACTGTTGGGGCATCCATCTTTAGCCCATAGGCCTAGAGTCTCTGTGTCCTGTAGAATGTCTGGCAGTTTCTTCTTCGAAGCAGGAACCTGAAGGACCATTTTGCCTTGCAAAAGTTCAGTGGTCACCTTCCTATAGGTCCTGTAAGTCCAGTTTATACAACATATTGTCAAGCAGTCGACACAAGGTCACTTTTTGCCCAGTGGCTAACTTTTGCCACAAAGAAAACAAACTCCATAATGAGTTTCTTTAATGTTCATTAACTTCTCTGAAGTAGATTGGTGCTACCAGGAGCAGACATGTCTCAATGTCCAGAAAGTCAAAGTTGTTAAAACATCTTAAATGCCATATTTTGTAAGTCTTTGAAGTGTTTGAAGATTACCTACCTAATTGAAATATATCTATGTATACCTAGAAAACTTAACTAACATGATTATAAGTTTGATTATCATAGATGACTAATAATTATACATTATGGTTTCAAATGAGCTGCACAAACATGATACCTTAAACAAGAGTAGAAATATACATACAGTATAACAAAATTCACTTTAAATTTATATCAATAAACTAAAATCTACACCAATGTAAAACATTTTAAACAAATTGCTCTTTAAAAGTAGATTCAACAATCTACCCTTTTATCCTATCATATCTATACTATCTTTTTTTAGAAAGAGATTGCATTTATAATCAACCTGTTTTAAATAAAAATGAACATTTATGAACAATATTTTGGGAATTTGGGTGTAGTTTCTCATACTACTTCCTGCTGGATGAGGGCGCTGGTAATCTAATGGAGATCCTGAGGAAATTATGGTCAAGTCCTGACTGGAGTAGTCTGTGAGACTGCATTGTCTGAGCCAGCTGCCTTGAAACAGTTCTGGATTTTGGATCATCTGGGCTATGTTGTCATCGGAGACCTCTTAGGGGGTCTTGACTGGTCAAACCATATTAGCTTGGAGGCAATCCATAGGTTCTCGTCTTCTGTGGAAACAAAAGCAGAACCTCTTTTCCAAAGCAACATGTCCATAGACATAAATTTTGAAATCAAGATATCTTTAAAATATACACATTGGTTTAACTGAGTAGGCTTTTTCTGCTTTTAAAAATTCCAAACACAATATAATAGACTTTCTGTGTAATATCCATCTTTATGTGGCTTAATTTTTATATTACCTTTATTGTCTCTTTAAATACTTTATTTTTTTAATACTTTTTATTTCTTTATATAACTGCAGGCAAAACACTCTTATGTCTTTTTTTTTAACTGACTTCAGAAATTATATGAAAAGCAAATGGCTGTGGAAACATGTTCAGCACATAAGTCCTCTGTAAATGTTAGCTATGTCTGAGACTGTTAGCCTGGAGTCCATGGGCTGGAGAAGCAAGAAGAGCTTCAAGCCAACAAGCTCCTCCCTTGGTAGTGTTTACAGTTTGATTTCTCCTAACCACTCCTAGGTGTTTGACTTTTTCTGTTTTTGGTAGATATTGGAGGTTTATGAAATAAGGTTAAAATTAGAGTAAACTTAGAAAGGGCTCCTGTCTCCTCCCCTTCACACTGCTTTTTAGTGAACATTACAGAGACAATTTCTAGAACAAATGCAATCAAAGCTTTCACTTCCCAGAGACAGGCTGCAGACAGCTGTATAGAAACAGATTCATTGCTAATGTTTTTAAATAAAGTTCACATGGATAAAGATCATTTTCAATCTGTTAAAGGTAAGGGCAGCAGTACATGATACTTTATTTTGAGCATAGTTACGTTTTTATATAATATTTCAAAAGAATGGGTGAACATATAAACTCTTACAGAACAATTGCTCTATATAAACCAGATTTTTAAAAGAAAATATTACAAGAACAGCCTTTTCCCTACTGAGATACAGTTGGTACAGATAGCTCAGAAATGAATATTCTTACCAATACTTGATGCTACCAGGGTTTTCTGTGAGAATTTCTTCCTGTGGATATAAGCAGTGCCCAAGTCATCTTGGTAGTAACCCGTGGCATTTACATAGGCTGCAGTTTTTCCCATCTCTGGCTTGTATTTTCACTGGATTTTTGTTATAAGAGTTTGTTCATTTCAATGGTATGTAACTATCTTCCTCATGGCCTTTAGTTTTCCACAGTGGCCATGGTGAAGTCATGTATTCTTGTATACATTTTAGGATCAACTTGTCAAGTTCCTAAAGACCTTTGTGAAGTTGCATTTGGAAAGAATTGCATTGAATTTATAAATCCATTTGTGGAGAATTGTCAAGTTTATAATGCCACAGTTTTGTATTTATAATCATGGTATATTTCTGCACTTATTAGATCTTCTATGCTTTTCAATAAAAGTTATTTTTGTTTTCCATGTAAAGATATGATTATACTTAGCCTCAAAAGTGTTCATGTTGTTTACATAGTTACATTAGATTATATTCTGAATTGAGTTGAAATTGTTTATTGTTATACATAACAATACATAAACATATGTGGATTTTTAGCTACTGGTATTAGTAGAAGTTGACAGGTTTTCAAACCTTGAATTTTAATATGTAAATTATTCTGATATTTAATGTATATCATCCACAAATATTGATGATTTTATTATTGAAGTTAGACTAAACTTTCTAGTTATTCTCTAATTATATAGTAATTGTCAAGACAATCTATTTTAAAAGTAGAAAATACATATTTACCTGACATACTGAAAACTGCTCAGTGCAGCACTTGTAACCACATATTATACTGTTGTATATTGGTAGCTGTGTAACATAAATTCTGATTAGTATCAATTGTTTCTTTGTAGCATTGACACCTTATTGGGAAATACTGATTGGATTAAATTGGTCACAGTAAGAATGGTCATATGAGTCTCTTATGTTGGAATTTGTTTGACTTTGCTTGGATAAGAATGGCATTTTAGAGCTAGGCAGTGGTGGCTCACACTTTTTTTTTTTTTTTTTTTTGGTTTTTTTCGAGACAGGGTTTCTCTGTGTAGCTTTGCGCCTTTCCTGGATCTCGCGCTGTAGACCAGGCTGGCCTCGAACTCACAGAGATCCGCCTGGCTCTGCCTCCCGAGTGCTGGGATTAAAGGCGTGCGCCACCACCGCCCGGCTCATGGCTCACACTTTTAATCTGTTTTGGAGGCAGAGACAGGTGGATCTCTCTGAGTTTGTTCCAAGACAACCAGGGCTACACAGAGAAACGCTATCTGGAAAAACTTTAAAATAAAAAGACATTTGTAGTTGATACATAAACGTGTATACATAAACATGCCTTAGGTATACAAATTAATATTGAAATGCATCTGATGAAGTTCACCACATCTAGATAATGAACCACTCTTCTGACCTACGCACTCCAGCAACTATTGTCACTGGGTATTTTCTAGAATTTTGTATAAGTGAGTTCATCCTAGTACATAATACATGTATTTTTTTTTATTTCTAAGTGTTCTGTGTGTGAATTACCACTATTTGCTTATATGCCTCTGTTGGTGAAGAGGCTGCTGGAACTTTGGGCCAATGACTGTCTATGAATACTCATGAGTCCTTTTGCTAGGTGTAGTGGTACACACCTACAACCTCAGACTTGGGAGGCTGAGGCAGAAGGATCTTGAGTTGGAAGAAAGGCTAGACTACATAATGAAACCCTATTTCAAAGGGGGAAAAAAAAACAAAAATGACAAAAAAAAATGTTAGTGATGGCACACACCTTTAGACTCCATACTCAGGAGGCAGAAATAAGCAGATCTTGCTGAATTCAAGGCTAGCCTGGTCTACATGGTGAGTTCAAGATCAGTCAAGGCTATATAGCCTGCTGGCTAGCTTTATGTCAACTTGTCACAAGCTAGAGTCTTCATAGAGGAGGAACTCTGTAATATCTGGCCATAAGTCATTTTCTTAATTAATGATTGATGGGAAGGGCCCAGCCCATTGTGGGTGGGGCTACCCCAGGGCTGATGGTCCTGGGTTCTATAACAAAGCGAGCTAAGAAAGCTATGTGGAGCAGTCCAATAAGCAGCACCCCTCTATGGCTTCTGATCAGTTCCTGCCTCCAGGTTCCTGCTCTGCTTGAGTTCCTGTCCTGATTTCCTTTGATGATGAACAGTGATGTAGAAGTGTAAGCCAAATAAACCCTTAACTCCCCCGGTTGTTTTTGGTCATTTTTCTTTAATCACCGCAATAGAGACTGTAACTAGGACACATAGTGAGACCCTGCCTCAACAATTAAAAAAAATTATTGTGTACATACTATAATAGTAAATACATGGGTAGGGTCCATGCCTGTCATTTCCATCATTTAGGAGGTAGGAGGTAGAAACGAGAACTGGGTTAAAGGCCAGTCTCGGTTACAGGACACCAACTTTCCCAAAACACAGAGGGGGGGGGAGAGATAGAAGGAGGAGGAGGAGGAGGACTGGAGAGGTGGCTCAGCAGTTAAGAACACCTCAGTTTCCAGCATCTGTATCAGCCATCTAGCCCCTGTTCCAGTGCCCTATTCTAGCTTCCATGGGTACTGCACATGCATACATGTGAACACATACATACTTGAGGACACACATCTGTAAAGTATTTTTTTAATTTTAAAAGGCAACGACTAGTAGAACAGCTGGATCACATAGTAGTGATATTTTAACTTGAGAAGCTGACAGAGTGGTTGTGTACCGACAGTGTCTGAGACTGGTTTCTTGACATCTTCCATCAGTAGGTGGCATGGTCAGAATTTGGAACGGAGCTGTTTTCATAGGTGTGTGGTAGTGCCATTGTCCTAATTCTAAAAGTAAATCTATTGGATTTTTCTTCATTTTGTCTTTCAAAGAACAAATTTAATTGTTTTGTGTTGGGAATTTTTAATTTGATCATATTTTCCTATGGATTTACTTTTGATGTGTTTATAAAATCTTTCTTTAATAATCCAAGCTCTCAGATATCTTTTGGAGTTCACAGTTTTGAGTTTTACAACCAGGAATCTGCATTTTAATAAGTTCCACAAACAGCTTGTAATCTTTCAAGCTTGAGAACCAGCAGCTCCTGTTGACAAAAGGCACCACGGAAATCCTTTGCTTTGGGGTGCACCTTAAAAGTTAATGGGCTCTGCTAGCTATCCAAAGGGAGTTCTACACAGCTTGTTCGTACACCAACATGAAGGCAGTCTGGACATTTTTACACTGCTTTCACCTCTAAGTCATCTTAGACCAGTGCTTACTGGTCACTATCAGAACTGAAAAGGAGGCTCTGTGATCTTAAGATCTCAGAACGTGACTAGCGTATAATAGCCGTATGGTTCTCTGGACCTGGGTAATCCCCGTGCTTCTACATGACACTTCATTCACCCATTTCTAGGCTGCTTTACCTAATTGTCTCTGAAGGTTTTCAGCTGATACTTCCCCCTGCAACTGTTCCTTGGTCCTACTGGGGTTCACTGGTTTCCTTACTCCCTCCGCCTCGTCTAGTCACCTTTCACTTGCTTCTCTACTTAGTAAATAGCCATGAGTAAGCTGTGCATAGTGTGATGCCTATTCTCCACCTCCGTGCCTATCTAGTGAAAGCCAAGCTAGTCATCACATCAGAAGTAAAGCCTGTTTTCTTCTAAATTAAAGGTGTCGGAGCTCACATTCCCTGCAGAGAACCAGAGAAGACTCCCTGCATTTCTTTTAAGTGGTTACTGTCTTCCAGAGCTAGCAACCACTCTACCACTCTTCATATCACCTTATATGTGTATATAAATCTCCCTTTGTTCAACCTGGGTTTTTTGGCTTGTTGGGACAGGGCCTTGCTATTTAGACCAGGCTAGCCTGAAATTTACTATGTAGCTCAGGCTTGCTTTCAGCATGATCTTCCTGTTGAGCCTCCTGGGTGCTGGGCCTGTAGCACCATGCCCAGCTTACCTTCGCCTTTTTAAAAATTAACATTATTATAATGATGTAATTTTCCTCCATTCCCTTTCTCTTAAAGGCAATTTTGATGGCATCATAGATAGATAGTTCATCACAACTGCAGAGATAATTTCCACATAAGGCAGCATTTGAACGTTCTTAGGGTAAAGATTTGTATTTTAAGGGTGACCAGATGTCCTATTTTGTACTATTCAAAATAATTTTTTTAGAGTACACATAAATATATATGATGGGGCTGGAGAGGACTCAGTCTGAAGAGTCTTGCTGCTTTTACAAAGACCCAAATTAGGTTCCCAGCACCCATGTTGGACAGCTCAAAACTGCCTGTGACTCCAGCCTAGGGGATTCAACACCCTCTTCTGACCTCTGTGGGCACACACATGTGGAATATGTACACACGCATATACACAGTGTGGGGGAGGGGGAAGATGTACGTGTGCACATAAATTAAAAAAATACATGGAAATATGTGTACAGTTCTCAGACTGACATTGCCAGTGCCTGAAGTTGGTGTCAGTTCTGAATGATGTGTTCATCTCTTGTAGTTTTTACTGCCTTAGCACACAAGTGACTGTTGACTTCTGAAAGTTATCTTTAAAAATCATTTTATTTGCTATTTTTAAAAATGTATGTTGATGGATTTAGCTGTGTTGTTGATCCTCACAGTTGGTGTTTCATTATAAATATGTTGTTGTTCTCGTATCTGTCCTATTGACAGTATCTGAGTTGTTGCAAACGTCTGCTGCTATGAAGCAATACAGTGAGATTGCTGGACTGTAGAAACATTAAGATTGCCAAACAGGTTCTCAGAATAGGTGTGCCAGTGCACTCCCCTCAGCTGGATGACGGGAGTCATTATCCTCTGGCTTAATTTTGCTAATTTGGTGAATATGAGGTGTTTCATACTGGTTTTAATTTTCTTGATTATGAGTGAATGAATGAGCTTAAACATTTTTTTTTCCTTTTTCAGTCTAGAGTTTGAATCCAGGCTTGTAAGTGACCAGGCAAGTGCTGCTGTGTCACCACCTACAGCCTGTCTTCCACATCATGTTCATAGTCTTCTGTAGAATCACTGTAACTAGGCAGTGAACTCAGTGACTTGTTCTCCTAGAATAATCTGGATACTGTTCCTTCGTATCTCTGTTGTCTGCCCCCAGGCCCATGCCATGAACCAAGAAATGTTTGCCCTTATTTATCACTCTGAGATAATTTGTTTATGATTGGGATATTTTTGTTCCATGAACTATGTAACGGGATTCACTAGTCTATTGCAACCTGAAATTCTGTCTGTGGGAAAATGACTTCTGGGTTACTGATGCAGTCTTGCTTGGGATTGCAGGACAGTTCAAATTTCTGTTCTTAGGCCACATTTTCCAGAATTTTCCCACATCATGAGTGTTCACATTTATTAGCACAAAGCTCTTGTCTCTTAGTTGTATTTTTAATATCTGCAGTTATGTTCCTTTCATTTCTGTCATTTTTGAGCCCTTTTTTTGTCCATTTCGTCAGAGGTTTGCCCGTGTTTCAATAGGCCAAGTTTGACCTGCTGTCCTGCATCTGCTTTCTTTAACTCCTGCCCCCATCTTCATTGGTTCTGGTCACTTTTGCCTCCCTCTAACTTGAAATGGTACTCAGCACATTCATTTTTCAACCTGTCTCTTCCTCTTAACATGTATGTTTGAGTTTTAAATTTCCACAACTTATCCCACGAATTTGGGGCAGTGTTTTTGTTTTTGTTTTGTTTTTTATCACAGTTCAAAATGCAGTTTCCTATTATAATTCTTTAATTTTTTGTGGATAAAAGTGTTTCAGATAAGAGTGTTTGCCTGTGTGTATGTACATGTACCAAGTATGGGATATACCCATGGAGGCCTAGAACTACAATCACAAATGGTTGTAAGGCACCACATGGGTGCTAGGAACTGAACCCATGTTCTCTGTAAAAGCAGCATGTGTTCTAAACTGC